ACACACACACACACACACACACACACACACACACACACACACACACACACACACACACACACACACACACACACATCAAAACACACACACACACACACACACACCTCGATGGATTGAAGAAGAGAGACGGTTTGTCATTCAGTTCAGCGTTTGCGTTAGCATTTTTCATTGAACCAGAAGCCGGGGTCGCGATCCCGACTCCCAAGTGCGGATTTCTGGCTGCTTCAATTACCGCTGACATGCGGTCCGGTACTCGCACTCGATTGCGCTGACGATAGTCGTCGTTAAGGTCAGGTGGATAATCATTCATTGGATGGACTGACCTGACATGGTTTAGAGTGGACCTGCTTTGGAGTCAGTCGCCACTGCTGGCAGGTTTTCCAGGCTTATCCTCTTCTACTAGCTGCTCTTACAGACCTACATAGTTGTGCAACCCATCCATTTTTTACGACCTTGAATATAGCCCGCTTCTTTGTCAAGGTGCGTTCATCAACTTCATCCTACCTTTTCTTTCTTCGTCGCCGCGTGTCTGATGGTTTGGCACGTTAGTTCGGTGTCCGTCGCTTTGAATATAGCCCTCTTCTTTGTCAAGGTGCGTTCATCAACATCATCACAACACAGCGTCGATTACTTTTTTGTCCATCCCTTTGGTCGACCATCACCTAAGTTCCTCAACACAATATCAATTACTTTTTTTGTGTGCAGCATCCCTTTTGATCGATTATGATCACAAGATTGACAACACAACATCAAACGTCAAACGTCAACTAGTTTGCTTCATCTCTGCGGACGAGTAGGGACGACCATTACCACAACACAATATCAATTCTGTCTCTGTCTCTGCCTCTTCGGTTTCGCGCCTGTGGATGCGGGTCCTACGAGTGAGCGTCCTCGTCTCCTTGGGCATCAACGTCGAAGTCTTCACTTCTCTGTTTTATTTATTTTTTTCCCCGAGAGAGAGAGAGAGAGAGAGGGAGAGAGAGAGAGAGAGAGAGAGAGAGAGAGAGAGAGAGAGAGAGAGAACTGCTGAGCCTTGGTTTCCTACCAAGTTACCAACGGTGAAGTGAAATCGAACTGCTGGTTTAGGGAGGCCGTTACGAAAATAAGTGGTTTGGAATAGGGTGTCGTCGATCCTTCGATCTATTCATCGGCCAGAATCGATCCGTGTCTTTTTCCTCAACGTTTCTTATTTTTTAAGCACTCTCCTGAAACCATCCTCGAACAAAAGGGGCGGATGTGTCCAGTGTTCGGGTAGCAGATAAGAGAAGGGGGGGAGAGAGAGAGAGAGAGAGAGAGAGAGAGAGAGAGAGAGAGAGAGAGAGAGAGAGAGAGAGAGAGAGAGAGAGAGAGAAAGAAGCAGGGGTGGGTTTTTGGTGGAGGGTGGTGCAATGGCGTTCAAGATATCGAGGAGCATGAAAAACCAGGTGCGAGTGTACAAACTAGTAGAGTTTTTAGAAAGTGGAGCTGGTTTTCTGGTACTTACTGTCCTGACTGTTGATGTGGGAACCTACGGAACGGCGATGAGCGCGAGGATCCTATGGCTCTGCGTAGCGCTGTTTGTGCTGGAAGTAGTGTCGAAAGTGATGAGGGGAATCATCTACAAGGAGTATTTCCAGGGTATGTCGTGCGCCCAGGTCTCTAAGAGTCAAGGGCAATCCTCCCGGATGATTCTTGGAAGTTTCCATGTGCTGAACGGGAAGGTTCGCTCAACTTTCGCCTACGTGTCTCTCAGTGCGTTCGTCCGTTTATGTGCGATGATTGCCCAGTTGGGTCTGGGAGTGCGGCTCTATCGAGCTATCCCGGATCTGACGAGGCGTAGAGATTACCACGAGGACTGGGCGAAGATGCGAGCACACGAGTTCATTGCTGTCACTTGTATTTGTCTACTCTTGCACTCTTTGCTCATGTGCATCTTGATCTTCTTCGGATTAGAGTATGCCTTGTTCAGAACGTGCCTATACGCTCTCGAGTTTCGAAGGTGTCGGGACATGCAGCTAACTGACAACGGACACTTTCCATTTTGGGAAAGATTCGAGCGGATTCGTTTGGAGATCGAGACCGGTGTTACTTGGTACTTCCACTACAATCGTCACTTCTGCTTCCAAGCGGTCGAGGCCCACTCGAACAAGACGGAGTGCGGGCTTCCTGGCTACTGGTTCTACAGCGTGAAGGAGCTCGTGGATATGGTGAGAGAGGACTTGCCTGATCTGTACGAGGAGGTTTATGAAGGAAGAAAAGGCAAGACTTCAGGCAAGAAAGTGGACATGGCGCTAGGGTCACTGAAGCACCTCTCCAAGCAGAACAAGATGGGCGGATGCGAGTTGTTTGCTTCGGACGACGAGATGGCCAAGCATATGCAGGACCTGAGTCAGGCTAGCCGGTGCAAGACGGACGTGGACGCAAGTCGGGATTTTGCTCGTGCTCAAGGGTATTTGGCAATGCTGCGAGTGATCAAGAGCTCCGCACCCAACTCCGACTACATCAAGATGGCTGCTTCCATCCTCGCCGGCTTCGCCTCAAGCCTCTCCGTCCTCCCCTGGCAACCATCTCCTCTAGGACTGGGAGATGGTTTTGACTCGCAGCATTTCATACTCAGTATGCTGCAAGACGACGACTTCCGCTCCTGTACGGTCCAGTTGCTGCACAGTCTGATAAAGCAGTTCGCTTCCGTCTCCCCGGACTCGCCGCTCAATGGCAGCAGCACGTTCGACCTTCAGGACGCAACTCTCTCTGCCATATGCTCCTTTGCTAATGCAGCAAGCGACATACATGCTCACCACGACGATCTGAAGACCCGTGGACTTTGCCCTTCGTGCCTGACTGATGCGGCAAGGAGAGACGCACCAGCGGGGCAGGAGGACTGTTGTGAGGTGCAAATCACTCCTTCCCGATCAGGGGGGGAAGGACCAACAAAAAGGAGAGAGGAGGATCCGGAGTACTACAAAATGCAATTCAGCAATAGTTTCACGACGCTTCGTCCACTAGGCTGGCCTCTGGAGACACCAATTCCGGACTTTCACGGAGCTGACAATGTGTGGGTGTGTGCCCTAAATGGCGTGAGGTCTGCACTGGGTAAGCAGGAAACAGTGGACATCTTACTCAATGCTGCAATCCACTGGCCGAATCTATCAAGCAGCATAGTGACCGACTGTGTCCGGACTCTATCCTGTCTTTGGTCCCGAAGGATGATCAAGTGGCATAGATTTGATGAGCAACTGTTGAATGATTTCCCTCAGCCTATGGCCTTGATAGAAGACTTGGAGAGGGCGGATGCGGTGAGAGAGAAGCTGAAGTCGCTGGTTGATCGCTTTAGTGAATTTCCTCCTGACTCGATGATCACGGCACCGTTCTGCAACCTGCACGTGGCTAAGATCCTCATCTCTCAGGGGATCAGGGATGTAGATGCACAGGTTGCAAAGATTCTGTTGCAGTGTCTGTGCTACTGGAGGCGAGCGTTAGGCTCCAGAGAGCTGGACTGGTTTGCTTGCGAGACCATAGAGACCCTGCGGGATCTGTTTGTCACATCAACGGAGCAGGACTCTCTCAAGCTCCAAATCTGGCAATCTTCAGGAGGGGTTAATTGCCTGAGATTGATGCTCAATGACAAGGTGAGTGTCAGTCGATCGGTGCGCTTCTGCAGGGAGGCGCAGACTTTCGGTCACCGATTTCGGGAGCATATGGTGAGCGTGCAAGATGGGGGAGAGCAGCCCTGGGCCTACGATGCAGGCACCCATACCAATCGGTGTGTGGCTGCTGCAGCACGGCTCTTCGCAGAGCTGATCCAATCAAACAAGGGGTTCAACATCCTGTCACAACCACAAGATGGCGAGGCCTTTTTCGAGACCCTAATCATGAGCTTGAGCTCCATACTTGCTCCGGAACCGGACCAGAGGGCAGGCCAACTGGATCGCTCACGTACAGATGGCCCCCCCGGAAGGTCCATACCGGGGACGAACACCACATCTCGTTCCTGCAGCTCAATCCTCCCTCTACTCAACATCACAGCACGCTTGGTCTTGCTCTTCTGGGAATCTCTGGGCAACCCTGCCTGGCGGCCGGTTTTCGGTTTGTTCGAGAACATCAACTCCGCTCTCACTGAGAGTTCCGAGCACAGGCTCGAGTACTTCGAGACGGCAGTCAACAACCTATTGGCCAAGGTGTACGCAGCACGAATCGCTTCTTATGTCGTTGATCGATGCCCCCAGCTCTTCGAGACTTCTCACACTTTCTGCTCCCGCCACCTCCTCAACATCTTTCTTCCTCCCTTAGTCGACCATTTTGTACTCCCCGGAGCCTTCCCAAGGTTGCAGAGGCGTCTGGGGCTTGATGAGTGGCAGGTCCGGCTTCGCGAAGAGGCCAACAATCTGATTGCAAAGGTGCTGATCAGGGTCATACCTCGTGCGTATGAGCTGCAACAGCATCCTACGGAAGGGAGAGGTGAGATGGAGCGCGCCTTAGACGATCTCAATGATTGGGCAATAAGGCTTCACATTGGGAATCGGGAGGAGAGGCAGAAGATGCCAGACATGGTCTCCGGGCTTGTGGACCTGGTGCACCGTCTTCACTCGGATGCGAAAAGACGACCTTCGCAAGTGATGGACCCAGCAGAGTCTGTCTGAGGTGAGCACAATGATACCCGCGGGCGGCGCGGGGGGAGTGGTGTTGGTAATTTGGTACCTCGTATCGAATCTATCGATCAAGAATTCAGGGACTGCATGAAGACCTGATCTCTCGTCAATGCACTCGGCCACCATCGGAGTCTGTCTGTCCGGATTGCAACATTGCTCAGCTCTTCATGTTCATCTCTACTTTCTCTCTGTCGTAAAGAATGCTGGGGCACTCGGGAGTTGTCCTACTAGCCTTTCCTCCATGCACTTTCTTTTCTTTTTTTCTTTCCCAAGCACTTTTTCGACTGCGAGCACAGACTGCTTGGAAAATCGGCGATTTGCTTCTAGCAAAGCTCAGATCTGCTGCTACTGACTGATTTAATGGTGCAACGGGACAGCGCTACTGTAGTTACTTCTGTTGATGCCCCTGGACCCCTTTAACAAGGCTTCTTAGCTGTAAAGAGAGGCCCTATCTTTCTAATTTACGGGCAGGACGGCAATCTTCGTCCCATATGGACTCTTCCCTCCTCCTCCTGTTTCATGTGATAGAATCTTGGTCCCATTTGGACCCTAGCTTTCTAGTGTAGGGGTTCGAGCACAGAGTCAGGACTCCACGATGACCTGCAGCTCTGTGCCACTGCAACATCCATGTTTGGTCTATTAAGGATTTGCAACACTGGATGGTCTATTCTTTAAAGAAGTTAAAAGAACGGGTAGATACAAGAAGTAGGTATACAACGACATGGCTCTGAAAGACAGTATATGTCAATTTGTCAATTAAATGACTTAGTCTAAAATTATTACTTAGAAGTAAGTACTTGTTCCAAGTTGTTCGCAACTTCGCACTGCCTATTTCATTCATTACCGACGTAGTGTCCTTTGGCTTTAGGGACACAAATATTCCAGTTCTTTTTCGTCTCCGAGGCACCTTAACTTAGGCTGAATGCGGTGTGTTTCACTCCGTGGAGGATGGTGGGGCAGCTTTGATACTTGGAGAAAAGAAAAGAAAAGAAAAAACAGCGTGATGAGAAAAGGACACAGGATATGGAAGAGTTGAGAGCCTCCTACGGTCTTCGCCCGAATAAAACGCCTCGGCATTATCACTGTATCTAGAATCTAGACTGAAAGTTGCACCAAATACGTTCTATTCGGGTGAAGACGGTAGTATATTCCATTGTATTTATTGGATGATGTTCAACTTTGCTATGGTATTCTTTTTTGTTTTTGTCTTAAATTTTTGCTGAAACTTTTTTCTTCTTTTTTTCCTTGCTTAGTCAAGAGACTCCGAGACATTATGAAATCACGGTTCAAGAACTTCTTAACTAGACTGTTTTTAGGTCCACAGTGTTGTACATTACGTATATTTAAAGAGATACGTACAAATTGGTGCCCTGGCAGCCAGGGGAGTAACTGAGCAGGATGTAAAACTTAAAAGGAGAAAAAAACATATTAGGGCACTCATCCAATGCTATTTATTTGCAGCCCTGACTGAGTTGCTTCATTTTGTGTTGCCTTTTGCTCGTTCTTGCCGCCGTCCTTATATCTTACTCCTCCCCAGCAATTTTTTTGAAACTCAAAATTGTTACTTTAAAAATTAAAAGGCCATTCATTCGGGTTGACTGTGAGGACCCCGGCCTCAAATTAAATATTTAAAATTAAAAAAAAAGGGCCATTCATTTACTATTTTTTTTATATGCGGGTATCCGGACCCATGGTTCTGATCTTCTCTGAGACTTCTGTCAATTGTTGAATGATCATGATGGATGTCGGATTTTCCAAAGGAATAATTTTTATTTTTTTTCCTAGTTGGGGTCAAACATGTGAATTAGCAACTGGGCTTGGTAAAAAAAAAAAAAAAGGAGCACGGGTTGTTAAATCTGTGCTTGGATAATGTTTTTTACTCCTTTATTCCTTTCTTCAAGTTTTTTAAAAAGTCATCGACTTTTGCACATAGCACGGTGGAGTGATAAAACACCCCGGGCCGTTTTCATGAGTGGTCCCGTTCACGCATTCATGGAAGGTAAAACGTGCGAGCCGGTTCACAAGTTCTTTTTTTTTTTGGATCAATCAATCAACGACCAATCACAATCAAAATTGAATCAATCAATCAATCAATCAATCAATCAATCAATCAATCAGTATGTGTGTGTCAAAAAAGAAAAAGAAAAAAAGAAAAAGGAATAAAAAAAACGTCTGTGGCTTTTTTTTCATTATTATCTTTTTTTCCTTTTATCTTTGCATCTGTTCTAAAAAAAAGAATAAAAGAAACATGAGCACCATGTTTATCCCACAAGCAATCAGAAAAAAATGAAAAGAAAAAGAAATGTTTTTTAATGGCGTTTCTTTTGATTAGAATACTTGTTGTCTCGTATTCTATTTTATAAAAATGAAAAAGCACTTCTTATAGGGTTGTAGGGCTTTTTTTTTTTTTTTTTTTTTTTTTTTTTGGAGCAACTCAAATTCATTCCAAATGAGAGACAGACAGAGGCCCGGGAAAACACCTCGACAATACAACCCGGTACATCAAAAGTGCTCGGGCCATTACCCAGCTGTGGGCTTCTGGAAACCGGGTCCAGTGTCCCTCCTCCAAAGTACTCCAAAAAAAGTCAAGAAAAAGTGAAAAGCTTCTACCAAGCAGATTATCTAGTCGCTTCTTCCGAGCCATGAATTGGCAAATATAACTCAGATCCAAAAGCCCCCTGTCTGAGTTCCTATCTACTTCAACTTTCTTCAGTCCAACAGGCCACAAAATAGTCATGAAGCACAGAAAGGGTGGCTGCACTAATCATAGCAGCGATACCAGCTCCAACCAATCTCAGAACAGTGCCGTCGTGTTTCTAAAATCGAAGCACTAATGGCAGGTAACAACAAACTATTTTCAGCAAATCTCGAGAAAGCACAAGGCAATTCGCGACAATTATTCAGATTAACCCTAAAAGTATTTCCAAAAGCAGACTCAACTCTCCAATACGATTCACCTCTAATTTTTAGGGCGAGATCTCACTAAATTTTAAACTAACTATACTTGAATCAAATACCTTGAAGCACTCCACAAGACTCCGAGAATCTCTGAGCGCAACTGTGTCCGAATCAGCACAGCGTCGCACATGCGTCGCACACCTCGACAGGATTCAAGACCGACAGAATTCCGCCCACAGTGCCATAAGCAACCTAGAAACAGGGGTCCAACGAATAGCATTGCAGAGCAAGCAGCAGGTACAGAGCACCAGAGACCCAACAAGCACTAATAGCAGAGCAAGCACAGACCTAACCAGCACATGAGAAGACATCAGGAATCTGTGAGAACCACAGACATAACCGGGACTTGAGAAGGCATCGAGAATCTGTGAGTGAACACGATCCTGAAAAATTGGAGCAGCAGACGAAAATTCCAAGTCCAAGCCGGCGAGAACAGACTGACCAACGCCATCAATCACGCGAGGGAATGTGTCGTGCAGATGCTTCCATTAGATATCTCAATCGTTCATAAGAGCTTGAATACCATCGGACAAAAGCCCCTCAACAGAACGTGAAAAAAGAAACACGCAAAAGAAAGCGCACAACGGACAAAMACCTTCAAACTACACCTCATGAACTACTACAACTATACCCCAGCACTTGAAAWTAACAAAAAGTTACGAGTCTCACTCACATATGAAAACCACAGCAAACGAYAGATGGCAATTATTTAACCCTCGCACCCAGGAAACGATCCCACCACCACTAGCGAGTCTCCCACTCCCACTTGTGGCGCCGTCACCCCAACGGGCTTCAGGGCTTTATATCTATCCAAATACCGAAAATCGGCGAGACAGCGAACTAWAGGAGCGAACCMAATAACTAAGCGCTGGGCGGGAGGACTGGACATTAGGGTCACTCTCTCAACCTCACATCTCAAAATGCTGTAAAGAGCCTTTGTTGCCTAGACGGGTTTCCCACCACGCACCCAATGGATACAACTCTAGTTTTCTCTTCACCAGGTCTCACGTATCAACCTACCCTGTGAGTAAAACCCTATATCACTGCAACATATCCCCGCTCTTAAAATATCGAGCAGCTGTGAAGCTCCATCTTACATAGGGACTTAATACTATTGCCAACGATACATGAGAACACAGTGCTACCGGAATAAACAGTAAAGCATCTAACAAAAACTACGTGGTACAGATCTATTGCAAAGATTATAGTTGAAAAGGTCAAACGAGAAAAACTCAACGACAAAGGATGAAAAAGATGGGTAAACATTAAGATGATCCATACATCAACGCACAACAGATGAAAGGGATGGATGAGCATTAGGGTGATCCACACATCAACGCAAACCTAAACACTGTAAAGAGCCTTTGTTGCCGAGACGGGTTTCCCACCACGCACCCAATGGATACAACTCTAGTTTGCTCTTCACCGGGACTCTCATATCATCCCAACCCCATGAGATTCACCCTAAAACCATCGCAAACGAAATTAATCGAAAACTCGAAATAAGTGAGCGTCAAAATGCCTTGCAAATAAAGGTAGGACAAACGAGACTTGCTGCAGCCGCAAGCCAAGTCGAGTGTAAGGTAAGTGAACATCATACTGCCTCGCAACACGAGGGTCGAACAGGACTTGCTGCAGCCCTTGAATATGCCAGAGCGCTGCCACCGCAGCCGCACGCTCTCCCACTGCGTCCAGATACGCCGCTCCGCCTTCTATGCTTTCCTTCTAATCGAGGCAGTCCAGATGACCTGTCGTAAAGTACAACGCACGGCCTGTAGGTATTAAAAAAGGAGCCCCCCCTTTCCGGCAGGAGGCTTGAGGGGAAGGCAGCTCCTATGGTGTCAAGGTCTCGTGAGGTCTGTAGGTTGTTATAGAGGTCGGATATGGAGCTGCCAGGATGCCTTGGCATACGAGTGCAAAGGCACTCCCTACCCACTCAAGGGCTAGGCTATGCCAAGGCACTGTCGCCATAGCTCTCACACAGCTATGGTGCCTGGCAGGGTAGGTGAGACGTAGCAATGATAGGACCCGAAGTTCAAACGCCCCACCTACACAGCCGCGACTATCGAGGACCGGGCGCCGCCACCGCCGCTGTCGCCGCTGCGTTAACGCACACTCACGCGGCTCCTTCCGTTTTCCCCTTTTTTTGTTGTAGGGCTTTTCAAACCCTACAACCCTATATTTGTTGTTCTATTTTTGGTCTATTATTATTTTTTTTTTAATATGACAAATTGTCGGCCGAGCCCGACCGCCCAGATCGTGGCCGGCGGTTGGGATCCCGACCGCAATCCGAGTTTGACCCCACGGTCATGACCTGGGAAGATACATAGGAGCGGAGAACAAAGAGGAGGAGAGGAAAGGGCAAAAGCGCGGGGGATGAAGAAGGTGGTGGGTCATAAACGCAGAAAGGGGGGGTTGAGGACAGAGCAGAGTAGGGCAAGAGAAAGCTTCCAGACCAGGATGATCACTGATTGGCGGGATGATTTTAAATTTTGCGAAAATCGTGTTGATTGTTCGAGCTGCGCACTAAATTTTGGTCTCTTGGCTCGATTCGACCAACTCGAGACAGGACCAATTATCTGTCATGTAAGATCCGGAAGGAAGACGAAGGGGTGCAAGAAGGTTGGAGGAGAAGGAGATGAGAAAGCTGTGTGTACTCAAGACCAGAACTAACCTCCCCATGTGGGTAATGCCATAATGGCCTCCGCCGTCAGGTAAGTAGGGCTCTGCCTGTGAAAGGAGGAAAGCCTTCGGCCATGGGCAGTCCAATTCCGTGAATTCTTTTCGTTTTCCCTATTCACATTCCAAATGATGAACATCCGTGAGTGGTTGGGGATGGACACATGAAGTCCAGCCGGCCCACTTTTTGAATTTGTGCCCCAGGGCATACTCACAGGAGCACTTTTCTACATATATCTGACTGCAACTAGGGCCCTACACATGAAAGCCGAACCTGGATGCATCTGACGCCGACTGACGGCAATCGCATCCAGAGCTCAGTTGGAGAAGTCTTTGTGTGAGTATGCCCTCAGTCACTGTGGAAGACAAAGAAGTCCTGAATTCTGGGTAATATTAATTACATTACATAAATGAACTGGGTAATTTGCAAAACACCCCCATA